CCACGTCCACTGCCACTCCTCAGTCCAAGTATACCATGTCCACCGCCACCCCTCTGTCCAAGTATACCACGTCCACCGCCACCCCTCTGTCCAAGTATACCACGTCCACTGCCACCCCTCTGTCCAAGTATACCACGTCCACCGCCACCCCTCTGTCCAAGTATACCACGTCCACTGCCACCCCTCTGTCCAGGTATACCACGTCCACCGCCACCCCTCTGTCCAAGTATACCACGTCCACCGCCACCCCTCTGTCCAAGTATACCATGTCCACCGCCACCCCTCTGTCCAAGTATACCACGTCCACTGCTGCTTTGATGAAGCTTTGTCATAGACTTCTATTAGATACAATAATCTGAAGCGCAAATGAAAGTATATATACATGGAGATCATATCCCCCTTATGTACCACTACTCTCTGAATATGATCTTTTAGCCAGTTTTCTATCCATTTATATACAGATTTTTCCAAGCCCGTAGACTTTACCTTATACATTAGCCGTGTGTGGGGACCACCCCTCTGTCCAAGTATACCACGTCCACCGCCACCCCTCAGTCCAAGTATACCACGTCCACAGCTACCCCTCTGTCCAAGGTTTTGTTCACCCCCACATAAAAAGAAATCAGATTTGTTTGACAACTTCTGTCTTTCATGAATCCATGCTGTCTGTTGCTTTAAATATTTTTTTCCAGCAAGAACTCATCTATGTGGTCTTTTATTAAACTCTCCAGTATCTTCCCAACTATAGAAGTTACACTAACAGGTCTATAATTACTTGGTAAAGATTTTGGCCCCTTTTTTAAATATTGGCACCACATTGGCCTTACGCCAATCCAGTGGTACTATGCCAGTCATTAAAGAGTCCCTAAAAATTAGAAACAATGGCTTTGAAATGACAGAGCTCAATGCTTTAAGGCCCCGTGGGTGTATGCCATCCGGTCCAGGTGCTTTATTCACCTTTATTCTGTCTAAATATTTTTGGATCATATCAATTGTGAGCCAATGTGGATCATCTGGAGCTGTGTCAGTACCATCCCCCATTATGGACAAGAGGTCCCAAACAGCATTTTTACACAATGCAGAGGATTAACCCCTTAGGTTCCACAGTGAGTATAACAAGCATGCTTTACTGTATATACAGACTGATTGTACTGTTGGGGGTTTATAACAGATTAGTGTGGCAGGCGCAGCACCCTTTGGTGCCTAGTGCGCTGTGGCATTACGCTCTATGGATGCAGTAGGTTTAAAGAGCACACTGAATACTTTAGTTAACTTCTTTAATAACTTCAATCTTCTTCATATAACAGCTTACAATGGCTTGTTTCTTTCATATTACATTGGGTTGATTCGATAGCTTATCTCGATAGGTTCAATAGATTTGATAAATTCGTTCTGTATATTTCGATAGATTGATAAATTCACTTGGATTTATAAATTCGTCGTTAGATTACTCTACAGTAACTTGATTCCTAAGTTCGGTGGAACTACAAGTAAACACATACAACAGTTTTTTACATACAGATCTACCTGCATTACTAAACAACAGAGGAACACACAAGTGCATTAAATACCTATTTGGCCTTCTCTGCTTCCATAAAGCTTTTCTGATTGGAACTTTGTCTGTTTCCTCTTCTGTCTGGTGAGCATGTGTCTCTAGAACAATCTAGCAGGGAGTTTTTACACAGGCACAAATGTGAAACTGGCTGGGGATTGGTTAAGGCTCTGTACAGTATGAGGCTGTCTGTGATTGGCTCAGATCTATACTAACTCTTAAAGGCATATTTTCCTTTTCTGCTTCTGCTAACACAATGAATATAGAAATGTCATATAACAATCAAAGACATAAATCATCACAGCAATGATTTTGCTTTTGCTTTTAACATATGCACATATACACTGTACTGAGGTTATTGGCAGGTTTGGTATACACACATATATGTGAACCATATTAACAACCTAGGACTGGTATTAGCGGCCAGCTACAATTAGGTTTTGCCTACAATTCAGGCTTTACAGAAGATTATATTTTTCAAAACATTTTTAACATTGTCTTTACATATAAAGGAAGACAAACAAATGCAACAAATTCGATTCCAGCTCAAGTTCAGGCTGGAAAACACAAAGTGAAAATCAAAACAATCAGTCTTACGCCGGCCATACATGGGTCGAAATGTTAGTTTTCTGTGTTGTCCATCCCTTTTCTTTTTTTTTTAGGTTTTTTTTCTACTGATCAATCATAATAGAATTTGCAGTGGCTTTATTTTTTAATTGAGTGTGGAGAACACTCCACTTTGAAAAAAGGCTGTAATAACAGTGAACTTTGGAAGTCTCGTGTAATGCATCCCCAGTCTCTGACCATCTCCTGCTGTATGTCTGCTGTCTCTGACCACCTCCTGCTGTGTGTCTGCAGTCTCTGACCACCTCCTGCTGTGTGTCTGCAGTCTCTGACCACCTCCTGCTGTGTGTCTGCAGTCTCTGACCACCTCCTGCTGTGTGTCTGCAGTCTCTGACCCTCTCCTGCTCTATGTCTGCAGTCTCTGACCCTCTCCTGCTGTGTGTCTGCAGTCTCTGACAACCTCCTGCTGTGTGTCTGCAGTCTCTGACCACCTCCTGCTGTGTGTCTGCAGTCTCTGACCCTCTCCTGCTCTATGTCTGCAGTCTCTGACCCTCTCCTGCTCTATGTCTGCAGTCTCTGACCCTCTCCTGCTGTGTGTCTGCAGTCTCTGACCCCATCCTGCTGTGTGTCTGCAGTCTCTGACCCTCTCCTGCTGTGTGTCTGCAGTCTCTGACCACCTCCTGCTGTGTGTCTGCAGTCTCTGACCACCTCCTGCTGTGTGTCTGCAGTCTCTGACCCTCTCCTGCTCTATGTCTGCAGTCTCTGACCCTCTCCTGCTCTGTGTCTGCAGTCTCTGACCCTCTCCTGCTGTGTGTCTGCAGTCTCTGACCACCTCCTGCTGTGTGGCTGCAGTCTCTGACCCTCTCCTGCTGTGTGTCTGCAGTCTCTGACCCTCTCCTGCTGTGTGTCTGCAGTCTCTGACCACCTCCTGCTGTGTGTCTGCTGCAGTCTCTAACCATCTCCTGCTGTGTGTCTGCAGTCTCTGACCCTCTCCTGCTGTGTGTCTGCAGTCTCTGACCCTCTCCTGCTGTGTGTCTGCAGTCTCTGACCCTCTCCTGCTGTGTGTCTGCAGTCTCTGACCCTCTCCTGCTGTGTGTCTGCAGTCTCTGATCCTCTCCTGCTGTGTGTCTGCAGTCTCTAACCATCTCCTGCTGTGTATTTGCAGTTTCTGACCATCTCCTGCTGTGTGTCTGCAGTCTCTAACCATCTCCTGCTGTGTATTTGCAGTCTCTGACCATCTCCTGCTGTGTGTCTGCAGTTTCTGATGCTGTGCTGCTGTGTGTCTGCAGTCTCTGACCATCTCCTGTTGCATGTCTGCAGTCCCTGATGCTCTCTTGCTGTACAGTATGTCTGCAGGCTCTGACCATCTCCTATTACATGTCTGCAGTCTCTGACCAACTCTTGTAGTGTGTCTGCAGTCTCTGACCAACTCTTGTAGTGTGTGTCTGCAGTCTCTGACCATCTCCTGTAGTAGGTTTGCAGTCTCTGACCATCTCCTGTAGTAGAGATCTGCAGTCTCTGACCATCTCCTGTAGTAGGTTTTGCAGTCTCTGACCATCTCCTGTAGTAGATCTGCAGTCTCTGACCATCTCCTGTAGTAGGTTGCAGTCTCTGACCATCTCCTGTAGTAGGTCTGCAGTCTCTGACCATCACTTGTATCATGTCTGCCGTCTCTGACCATCTCAGTAGTATGTCTGCAGTCTCTGACCATCTCAGTAGTATGTCTGCCGTCTCTGACCATCTCAGTAGTATGTCTGCAGTCTCCGACCATCTCCAGTAGCATGTCTGTAGTCTCTGGCCATCTCCTATAGTATGTTCCTGGCAGTGTTTAGTAGTATTACAGTCACTAAATATTATGTGTGGCCCTGTGGGTGATATCAGGGGCCACACCCCAGACCCCTATAATAATCTAGTACTACTTTAAATCTTCCCTGACTAAAGCGTCATGTAACATCACTCCAGGGATAGGCACCTGACAGGTACACTGTTTGAGGAATTGATGAATGTTCCATCAGCAGATGAACTGCAGACACCAGACCTGACATGAACAATGACGCATCGACCAGCATACTTCAGATTTGCTGCCAGGAAATGTGCAGCTATTTGGCCTCTGGGTCAGCCACTGACTTCATCCATGTAGAGAGGAAGGGAGCTGGATTATTGCACCCGCGGCAAAACAATGGAGTAATGTTTGTGATGTGTTTTTTTTATTTGCACTAAGGCTCCTTTCACACTAGAGAAATGTTCACCGCCCCTCTGAAAAAGCTATCCGCGGTGGATTGTTTTTCAGAGGACAGTGAAAGAAGGTTTGCAGGCAAGGTTGTCACCTCCTGATGCCAAGTATTCGGCTCACAGTTGCAGTGGAGCCCTATTCACTTACAAGAGAGCATTTGACAGGCAGTCGTGTCAAAATTGCAGGACCATGATGCAAAGCATTACGACCATGGCAGTGTGTACTCATCCTAGCATCACCTTCTGTATGTCTGCAGTCTCTGACCAACTCTTGTAGTGTGTCTGCAGTCTCTGACCAACTCTTGTAGTATGTCTGCAGTCTCTGACCAACTCTTGTAGTATGTCTGCAGTCTCTGACCAACTCTTGTAGTATGTCTGCAGTCTCTGACCAACTCTTGTAGTATGTCTGCAGTCTCTGACCATCTCCTGTAGTAGGTCTGCAGTTTATGACTGTCTCCTGTACTATGTCTGCAGTCTCTGACCATCTTCTTCTGCGTGTCTGCAGTCTCTGACCATCCCCTGTAGTAGGTCTGCAGTCTCTGACCATCTCCTGTAGTAGGTCTGCAGTCTCTGACCATCTCCTGTAGTAGGTCTGCAGTCTCTGATCAGCTCCTGTTGTACATCTGCAGTCTCTGATCATCTCTTGTATCATGTCTGCAGTCTCATACCATCTCTTTTAATAGGTCTGCAGTCTCTGACCATCTCCTGTAGTAGGTCTGCAGTCTCTGACCATCTCCTGTAGTAGTAGGTCTGCAGTCTCTGACCATCTCCTGTAGTAGGTCTGCAGTTTATGACTGTCTCCTGTACTATGTCTGCAGTCTCTGACCATCTTCTTCTGCGTGTCTGCAGTCTCTGACCATCCCCTGTAGTAGGTCTGCCGTCTCTGACCATCTCTTGTAGTAGGTCTGCAGTCTCTGACCATCTCTTGTAGTCGGTCTGCAGTCTCTGATCATCTCTTGTAGTAGGTCTGCAGTCTCTGACCATCTCTTGTATCATGTCTGCAGTCTCAGATCATCCCTTGTAATAGATCTGCAGTCTCTGACCATCTCTTGTAGTAGGTCTGCATTCTCTGACCATCTCCTGTAGTTGGTCTGAAGTCTCTGACCATCTCTTGTATCATGTCTGCAGTCTCTGACCATCTCCTGTACTAGGTCTGCAGTCTCTAACCATCTCCTGTAGTAGGTCTGCCGTCTCTGACCATCTCTTGTAGTAGGTCTGCAGTCTCTGACCATCTCTTGTAGTCGGTCTGCAGTCTCTGACCATCTCCTGTAGTTGGTCTGCAGTCTCTGATGATCATCTCTTGTAGTTGGTCTGCAGTCTCTGACCATCCCCTGTAGTAGGTCTGCAGTCTCTGACCATCTCCTGTAGTAGGTCTGCAGTCTCTGACCATCTCTTGTAGTAGGTCTGCAGTCTCTTACCATCTCTTGTAGTTGGCCTGCAATCTCTGATTATCTCTTGTAGTAGGTCTACAGTCTCTTACCATCTCTTGTATCATGTCTGCAGTCTCAGACCATCCCTTGTAATAGGTCTGCAGTCTCTGACCATCTCTTGTATCATGTCTGCAGTCTCTGACCATCTCTTGTATCATTGTATGCAGTCTCTGACTATCTCCTGTAGTAGGTCTGCAGTCTCTGACCATCTCATATAGTATGTCTCTGTGGCCCTGTGGTGATATCAGGGGACACACCTGAGGCCCCTAAAACAATCTAGTACTACTTTAAATCTTCCCTGACTGAGCCGTCATGTAACATCACTCCAGGGATATGCACCTGACAGGTACACTGGAAATAAACCAGTTTTCTTAGCATTAGGTTGAGGAATTGATGAATGTTCCATCAGCAGATGAACTGCAGACACCAGACCTGACATACGTTCGTTCTTCAGATTTGCTGCCAGGAAATGTGCAGCTATTTGTCCTCTGGGTCAGCCACTGACTTCATCCATCCAGAGGAAGGGAGCTGGATTATTGCACCCGCGGCAAAACAATGGAGTACTGTGGTGCCGGCCCATTCACCTACAAGGGAGCAGTTGACAGGCAGGCGTGTGAAAACTGCAGCACCATGATACTAAGCATCACGCCATGACAGTGTGTACTCATCCCAGCAGCACCATGTCCACTTGTAGGTGGGCGGCCTGGGGTGGTAAAAATGCAGATCAACCTCCTGTTTTTACTGTCCCTGGCTTCCCATTAACATTACAGTTAAATTTTCAATAGAAGATTGCAATGTGTACCCTGATTTCTCAGTCTAAGCATTACTGATACACAAAGGTTTGGCAACAATTCCTGAACAGAAAAACGAAAAACATTTCTAACATTTTTGCTAAGTCCTCCTGCACACGGGACTTTTTACAGCGGCCTTTTTTGGCTTTTGATGTTTTTTTCTACAGCCAGTAAACCCCCCAGCTATTTCTCCCACTGACATCAACAATGGGGTGATAATTCCTGCAGTGACACCAACAGTGGGGCATTATTTCCCCCACTGAGACCAACGATGGGGCACTATTCCTCCCACTGATACCAATGATGGGGCACTATTCCTCCCACTGATAACAATGATGGGGCACTATTCCCCCCACTGATACCAATGATGGGGCACTATTCCTCAAGCTGATACCAATGATGGAACACTATTCCTCCCACTGATAACAATGATGGGGCACTATTCCCCCCACTGATACCAATGATGGGGCACTATTCCTCAAGCTGATACCAATGATGGGGCACTATTCCTCCCACTGATACCAATGATGGGGCACTATTCCCCCCACTGATACCAATGATGGGGCACTATTCCTCCCACTGATACCAATGATGGGGCACTATTCCCCCACTGATACCAATGATGGGGCACTATTCCTCCCACTGACACCAATGATGGGGCACTATTCCTCCCACTGACACCAATGATGGGGCACTATTCCTCCCACTGATACCAATGATGGGGCACTATTCCTCCCACTGATACCAATGATGGGGCACTATTCATCCCACTGATACCAAGGAGGGGGCACTATTCATCCCACTGATACCAATGATGGGGCACTATTCCTCCCACTGACTCCAATGATGGGGCACTATTCCTCCCACTGACACCAATGATGGGGCACTATTCCTTCCACTGAAACCAATGATGGAGCACTATTCCTCCCACTGACACCAATGATGAGGCACTATTCCTCCCACTGACACCAACAATAGGGTGATAATTCCTGCAGTGATGTAAGGGTGTGGAGGCATGAAATACTGATGTGTAATGTTAAACTGTAATATGCCTGCAATATGCTCTTTGGTCAGTAGATGGCAGCAAAGTACAAGAATCGATTTTGCAGTGACTTTTGCTAAGACAAGATAAATGCTTATTTACCCTATAAAGTTTAATGAATACTAATTTAGGGGTTGAGTAGGACCCTCAGAAGGGTCATAGTGAACTGTAAATGCAGGTTTGAGGCTGCAATTAAGAAATGACTTACTGCATCACAAACTCTATGGGAAGGGGAGGAGTTCCTGTGCTGAGGAGGAAGTGACAGGGAGTCTGTGTCTGGCTGGTATATGCTGAGGACGTCTGGAGAATCTGTGTGGGGCCTGGAAGAGGATTTACGGCTCACAGTGGAGTCTTGCAACGGCACCTAAGGAAGATTCACCACAATGAGACCAGGAAACAAGTGACTGTATGGTCCAGTTCTGGAGTGGATCAGGAAAAAGCACCAAGAGCCTGCCAGGGAACTGTAAGTGCGGCTTTGCCGCAGCACATCGCACCACACGTGTTCAGTGACATTTTGGATATACCAGAAAGTTACAAGAGACACACTCCGCTTTCCTTTGGATTACAAATAGTATTGCACAATACTTAGGGTGCACCCCAACATTATACCTTGCTCAGGAACATTCAGGCGCAGCCAGGCTGCTTTCTGGACATTGGGGAAAAGTCCGCAAAGTACGGGGCTAGTGTTAGACAGTATTATTCTTACTGTATGGTTATGTGATGTTATCATTCTGTTTACGTATGCTCAGCTACATGATCACTATAACTGTTCAGTAAACGTAATTGTTTTAAAAGAACCGCTGTCTGTGTCTGTGTGGCATCGTGTACCCTCTGAATCTGTGGGCCCAGCCCTCGGCTTTCCTTCATTTGGCGCTGCGAGCAGTTCACTATGACCCTTCTGGGGGTCCTACTCGGCCCCTAAATTAGTATTCATTAAACTTTATAGCAGTGGTTCTCAACCTTCCTAATGCCGTGACCCATTAATACAGTTCTTCATGTTGTGCTGACCGCCAACCATAAAATTTTCGTTGCTACTTTATAACTGTAATTTTGCTACTATTATGAATCATGTAAATATCCGATATGCAGGATGTATTTTCATTGTTACAAATTGAACATAATTGAAGCATAGTGATTAATCCCAAAAACAATATGTAATTATATATTGTGAAATATTTTTATCACCCCCATAAAAATACATCTGCCCCCAATAATGATGCTTACCCCCCCTCTATAATGACCTTTTACCCCCATAAAAATACATCTGCCCCCAAATAATGATGATTACCCCCCCCAAATAATCTGCCCCTCATCCCTATAAAAATGCCCCCCAAATGAGAGTTTGTCTGCCCTTCTCCCCCTCTATAATAATTTATCACCCCCATAAATTATATATCTGCCCCCCATAATAATTTATCTGGGGGGTACAATGAGAGCCCCCCCCCCCACTGTACAATAGGGTAGGCACTAACCTGGATCTGCCGCCTGATCTTGTTGGGTGATCCGGGCATGACATCGGACATGTTCAGGCAGTTCATGGGGTCGGGCCGGTCAGGTCGTTCAGGGCGGGAAACTTTGTAATGATCGGAGTGGCGGGAGATCTCCGCACAAATCCTCCACTTCAAACAGCTGTTCCAGAACAAAGCCCAACCAATCAGGGACGGACCGGTCTACCAATCAGCGAAGGCAGAGGGAGTTAAATCCCCCTCCCCGAAGAGAGGGGCGTGCCCGGGAGTGATTGACACATGTCTGACAGCTGCAGGTTTGGCGCCAGAATCAGTTGATGTAAATATTCTGGATTGTATAGATTCTTTCCTCCTGGAGACAGATAAAGGAGCGGTGTCTCGATTCCTAAGACCATCAGAAATATGTGTTTTCCGATGGTCTTAGGCGACCCCTGTGAAAGGGTCTTTCAACCCCCAAAGGGGTCACGACCCACAGGTTGAGAACCGCTGCTTTATAGGGTAACTAAGCATTTATCTTGTCTTAGCAAAAGTCACTGCAAAATCGATTCTTGTACTTTGCTGCCATCTACTGACCAAAGAGCATATTGCAGGCATATTACAGTTTAACATTACACATCAGTATTTCATGCCTCCACACCCTTACATGCCACCCCACTAAAATTTTGGCGTCCTGACAACACTACCAAATAAACTTATCTGCTCCATAGCGCTGAGGGGGAACACCTGCCGTCGAGCGCTCCGACCTGCGAAGGACTGGGTTCTCTGTAGTTGGTATAGCAACATGACTCAACCCCTCCCGGGGTGGTAGGGGATCTTCCGGAACAGTGTGTGGTACTGTACCATGGGGTGCGGATGACTCGTCAGTTTGTAAAGGCAGTGTAGGGATCAGCCACCAGTCTATGTCTCTTGGGCCCACAGGCTTCGATTGTCTCCTCTGAGCATCTCCAGAATTAACTGTCGTGGGGCGACTCTCTGAGAGACAAGGTCACTCTATCACAGCCGGGTTGCCCACACTGAAGATGCCGGCCTCCTGGAATCCAGGATGGCCAGTGAAACGGGCTGCAGGGGACACACCACAGGACCGAGGGACAGGTAAGTGGCTGTTTTTTAAAAGTCAGCAGCTACAGCTTTTGTAGCTGCTGACTTTTATTTTTTGATAGGTCGAGTGGAACTCCGCTTTAAGGTTTAATGATGTCTATTTTGAACAGTACCCCAACACACCTAGGCAGCACAGTACAACCTGTTTGCTGTTCCTGCAGAGTTTGCCCATGGTTAGATAGCCACAATAGCAGGGAAACATTAGAAAACAATAGGCAGCTGTGGCCCTAAATCCTCAGATTATATTCAGGCTGTAGAACCACAAAAATGCATGACCCTGGACCTCATCATTACTCATACACCTTCCATTTACAGGGTGCTTGCCAGAGGTCAGAATAGCTTGCCAAGTGACCACACGAAGAAACCAAAGTCCTTGAGTCTACAGGCTTCAGGATGAAAAGCCAGACACCATTCCTTTCAACATTTTTTAGCACGCTAGGACAAAAAATTCCCATGTTGAGAG